GTCGGGGATCCCCGACTGGGCCCCCCTTCGGCCGGGGCCCCCCGGGCCCCTCTGGGCCCCCACAGGGGGCCCAAAAGAGTTCCCCGATAGGGTGATAAATGTTCAACACTGCTGAAAATGCACTCTGAAGTTTTAGAGTGCAAAATGTCTGAGTGCAGTTACACACACAAATTTCGCGGATCCGAGAGTGCGAATTGCTGAGTACTTCTGCACTCAGAACACCTCTGAGAGTGACTTAATCAGAGTGAGTGCAACTTCAAACAATTTACTTCCTACTATATGTGGTTAAGGAACGACAGGGAACAATGTTCTGGGGGTCAGAAACGAGGCGGAGCCGAATTTGTGGTCCGTTTCGTCGTATCTCAACTTTTGAAATTTCGTGACGAAAAATTGTGGTCCAAAAGGTAAGGCAAGGGAATCCCAGTACTAATTTTGAACGTAGATTCCGAATATGAACTTAGTTTTCTCGTATTACACTTAGTTGTATACGAACTCGAAACCAGTTTTTGCGACACTCTGGAGACGTCACTTAGGAAAGGGCACTCTCAACTTTCACACTCTAGCGGACCGAAGATTTCAGAGTTCACATACGCACTCTAAAAATTTGTGAGTGCAAACCTGTGCACTCACAAATTTTTGGAGTGTCATGGTCAGAGTGCAAGAGCCACTCAGAAATTCTCTGAGTGGCACTCTTAACTCTCCCCTACACTCACAATTGTACAGAGCACTCAGAATATTGAGAGTGTCACTTAGAATTTTCAGAGTGTCACTCTCAAAATTCTGAGTGCATTTTCAGCAGTGAATGGCCGTTCAAAAGCACACTTTTGGTGCCATCCAGTGCCAGTCAGAACGCATTTTGCGCTCTACAAACCCAAAAATTCGCGCTCCTAGCGCTCGCACAGTTCTTTTTCCCTGACCCAGATATTATGAAAATTGTTTTGTTCCCGATGCAGGAAAATTTGCAATGAAATTCGGGGCAAAAATAGGCTCCGGTGATTTGTGGGCCGTAAATAAATTGTGAAGAAATACCCCAAAATTTTCTTGCTCGCTCCGCTCGCGAAATTTTACTGCTAAGCCCCATACCCCGCCCTGCCCTCACTGTTTTGTCTATGTACCTAAAGGACAACATGGTGCTTTGCTGTGCGCTCAATCACAAAAGATGTGAGGAAATACAAAATTTCCCCCCTTTTTTACGGCAAAGTCGGGTAAAAAACTTAGTTGCCCCTGTGAGGTAGGCAATTCGGGGGCCCTTTGGGTGCATCCCCGACTGGGTCCTTGACCCCCCAGTACGCCCCTGCAAACAAATGACGGGTAATGTGTGTGTGTGTGTGTATTTTTTGCTCTGCGCTCTTTTGTATTTGTGCCTCTTTTAAAAGTCGTATCGTTTTGCAGACTGCCTTTTGTTTTACAGCGTACGCCGTTTGGAAATCTCCAGATAGTTCGGCATGGGAACGTCGCGCGCGGCAGAGTTAGCGAGCTTGTGTGAATGGTATGTGTGCCTGGCCGGTATCGCCGAATTCATCGCGCGCGCGCAGGCCAGGCGCGGCTCTGCGGCTCTCCGTACGGCTCGCCGCGAAATGGACGCTTATTTCGGTCCGTTGCTCGTCGGAATCGCACGGAATGCCGCAGTTTTGACGTTGGTCGAAAGCCATAACAATCGGTGACGTCGCGCCTGGCAGAGCGCGGGCCGCGGCGGGTGATTTAACGCTGCGGTCACTCATTGCATTTCTTAGTCGAGCAGTGCGTGCTGCGCGAGCTGCGAGTGCGTGAGGCGACCTTGTCAAGGATGAATGACTCGCAGTGTGCCACGGGCCGGCCGGCCGGGCGCGGCGGGGTGGGTAAGGCAATCAAATCTTCCTTTCCGAGCGAGACCTGTTTCTCCTGCTGGGGGACTTTAACGCGCCCGCGGACCAGAGCGCCGCCGCCGCCGCCGTTGCGGACCGCTCACCGCTTTTACACTTGAAGCCGATTTTGCTTTTGTTTTTACGAGCATGGTTATTGATATCGTCATTTTTGTCAGTGCCTCCAAAAGGGCTGGCTCTTGCGGGCTGATTGCATTTTGCTCGCAGGCGAATGAGCCCCACTGGAAAAACAAAGGTGTGATATCCTACCTTTCCAGGGGTGTTAAACTCGTTTTAGGGGTGCTAAAGAGTATATTTTCAGTTTCGTCAAAATATTTTCTATGTGAGCAAACCGATTACATTTTGAGATTCATTATCGCATTCCTCGCAAAATTCCGCGTCAAACGAGCCTACATGTGATAGGGTTCAGATAAGCGGTCAGCGAATGAAAAGCAAGTCAAAAAGTACAAAAAATGAAATCAATCTAAGCCATTTTTGAACAGAACCCCATCATATGTAGGCTCGTTTGACGCGGAATTTCGCGTAGATTACGAAAATAGGTTTCAGAATCCATTTTTTTTCCATGGGAAAGAAATATTTCGAAAAAACATAAATTGTAATGCCTTTGGAGCTTTAACGCCTTTTAAAGGTAGGATATCCTACCTTTGTTTTACCAGTGCCGCCAGGGTTTTCGATTCTAAAATTTTCATATTATTTTCAATGAAATTGACTTTTTGCCTGGACGTACCTAAAGAATGGCATACTTTCGAAAGATCTGTCAAGGCAAAAGATCAATTAAATTGGAAATAATATGAAAATTTTAGAATTGAAAAACCTTGCGGGCTCATGCGGGCTCATTCGCCTGCGAGCAAAATGCGTTCAGCCCGCAAGAGCCAGCCCTTTTGGAGGCACTGATTTTTGTTGTTATTATTACTTTCATCATTATTTTCCTTTAAGTGAACCCGGTCAGTATGGTCGGCGACTGCCTGCCACACGAGGTGGCGACTGAAGGGTGGCGCGCTGCTCTATACGTCGGCCCGATGCCCAATAATAGCGCGGTCACGACCGGGAGGGAGGCTCGATAAATGAGGGCCCTTGATTCTCGTGGACGGCGAGGATAAATATGCGGGACAGCGGCGCCGCCGCCGCCTTGCACGCCTGCTCGCCTGACCCGAGAGAGCGGCGCGGGGAGAGGGGGTTCTGTCAACAGTTCCTGACCGGATCCACCCATCCCACGACGTCCCCGAGGCGCCCATGTGGGTGGGTAGGTTAGGAGATGCCCACTAATTACCATGGAGGGGCCAACAACGGTCATGACGATATAATAAACTTGGAGTTGAGTTGCTCGGCCGCTACTCGAATGACAGGCGCTGCAACAGGACACGAGTGTTACAAATTTAATCATCCTGCTTTCTTCTTCTTCCTTTTTATTTTCAAAGTCGGGTGGAGGAAGGATTATTTGTGAGGGGGGGGGGGGCAGTATAGATGCAGTGACAGAGCAGTCGGACGGAGGGCAATTTGTTTCCTCATTGCCGACTGGTCCTTCGCGTGCGGTCCGGGCCCGCCGTGTCCTTACGGCGCCCTGCGGCTGTTTGCGGCGCCAGCTTTGGACCAGCCTTTTGCATGATATGATAAGTTATGCGCGGACCTCCCCGGTCGTTTACCAACTTAACGTTTCTCGTCCGTGGAGCTGGTGCATATTTTAACTCGCTATTTCGCGGCCATCCTTGATCTAGACTCTTTTTTATCGGAGGTATCAGAGTGTTGGCTTTTTGTTACTGCGTTCCGGTTCATCATCATAATGATCACAGTCAATTTAGAACGATTTAGGGGGACACCTTCCACCCCCACGAAACACTTACAAACGAGTGTTTTGCCATGATAATCTTCTTGCAGCTACGACGCAAACGAGCGTGGAGCCGTTCCACCGGATCATTTTAGAACTGTGCCGAACCAGAGAGGAGCTCTGATGACCCTCCTCCTCCTCCTCCTCCTCCTCCCCCTCCTCCTCCTCCTCCCCCTACCCGGTGCCCCGTGGTCACGGCTCTCGGATGCGCGCCCAGCGTGCCTCCATCCGGCCCAGTCCTGGGTCGCGGAT